AGAAAAGGATCTAAACATTCTCTTCCCTGATTAGAAAAGGATCTAAACATTCTCTTCCCTGATTAGAAAAGGATCTAAACATTCTCTTCCCTGATTAGAAAAAGATCTAAACATTCTCTTCTCTGATTAGAAAAGGAAGAAAATATTCCATCCGCAGATTACAAACTTCCATCCTACGCACGCGCCTGGAAACCGGTTACTAACCTTACATGGCCAAAAGATTTATTATTTTTAATTCAAACATTACTTGGCATTATACTAATTTTCTGATGGAATATGTTTCTCTAAACTACATCACATTATACAAGTTATTGATTTTTTACAGTATGAAAGTGTGCATATACTCCCTACTATGTTAGTACTATATTACCAGTTGTTCTGTAATTTCTTCAAAACATAAGTAGCAATTTGGAATTTTCTGTAAGTTAGTGTATATTAGTACAATCATAAAAAGTTAGTGTATATTAGTACATTCATAAAAAGTTAGTGTATATTAGTACATTCATAAAAAGTTAGTGTATATTAGTACATTCATAAACATTATACGAAAAGTAGTAGCAGTGAACTTTCTCAAATAATTTCAAAACAAATAAAAAACCTGAAATGTAATTAAATAATAGAAAATCAACTCCAATGTATTAGAAAAGGAGATCTGTTATTGTTGTTTCCTTAGTGTAAAGTTACACAATAAGCTATCTGGACTCTGTCCGTCTGTGGGAATCGAACCTCGGATTTTGGCATTGTATGCCCGTAATTCACCAATGATCTAGCGGGGAATAAACATAAGATAAGTGACATAAACGAGTGCATTAGCTTTGTTTATTTGTTTGTGGTAGTGCAAAGCTGAACGATGTGTTCTGTCCACCGCGGGGAATCGAACCATACATTTTAGTATTATAAATCCGTAAATTTGCCGCTGACCTCTCGGAGGGAAGAGGAAACACACGTAATGGTCTTAGATACTCAACAAACCTGGATTGTCAAACAATAAAAGAGAGCTAGTAGTGTTCAGCATGTGGAGTTAAATACACCGTAATCAAACATATGACATCTAACATTAGGAATAATCAATAAATATTTAGAAAATACAACTGAGAGCCTGTGAAACAAGAAAACTAATAATTACTACATCGTGTAGTCATTATTGTAGTTGTTTAAAGTGTTTAATGGTTAAATATTGGTATTGTTATAGAAGTTGGTTTAAAGTGTTTAGTGGTCAATTATTGGTATTATAATTTAGTCAATGTTTTCTTAATGCTCATGAGAATGTGTATCATCTTTTAGTCAATGTTTTCTTAATGCTCATGAGAATGTGTATCATATTTTAGTCAATGTTTTCTTAATGTTATGAGAATGTGCATCATCTTTCAGTCAATGTTTTCTTATAGCTAATGAGAATGTGTATCATCTTTTAGTCAATGTTTTCTTAATGCTCATGAGAATGTGTATCATCTTTTAGTCAATGTTTTCTTATACTTAACCACTAAACACTTTAAACCAACGTCTATAACAATACCAATACTTAACAATTAAACACTTTAAACCAATTTCTATAAAGGCAAGTTGGAGATTCGTTTATCTAGCCATTAAGGATTGATTAATGGTGCTAAGATTGGCGATAAAGGCCACCACTGTATATTACGATAAATGGACCTGAGACAGGATAATACGTTCTTAGGACTTAACACAGCTATAACAGACCCTAAGAGTTAAGCGAAAACTCCTTAGTTTGTAGTCTTAAACTTATTAAAGCAGATTCTAAATTCACTCGGAGCTAAGAGAAAATTCTTCAATCTGTTACTTTAACATTTTTATTGATTTTTCACGTTCTTGTAGCAGCAAGTTTGTATTTACAGCTGCAGAGCAAAGATGATATTTATAAAAACAAAAGACTTCGAATCTTTTTTTTATATATTCAACTTTGTATGAACTGAACAACCCTAATATATTAGTTGCAGTTGTTGTATATTAGATTATACACACGTGTGTTTTCAATCCATTATCTTGTTCAAATCACTTCATTTGTTCAGTTGTTGTTCGTTAGCTTACACGCACGTGTGTTCAATCCATTACCTTGTTCAGATTACTTCATTTTTTACTATTCTATTTTACTGTTTGTTAGCTTATAGATAAGTGTGTTTCCAATCCATTACCTTGTTCAGATCACTTCATTTTTTACTATTCAGTTGTTGTTCGTTAGCTTACACACACGTGTTCAATCCATTACCTTGTTCAGATTACTTCATTCTTGTTCTTACGTTTACATCTTTTTATCCGACTATTTTACACATATTATAGTCACACCCAAACATAGGAATGTTCATCAGACGAGGAAGTTTGAAGAAATATAAAGAGTGAGTTACCATTATATCTAAAATATGTTGCTCATCAAATTCGATAAGGATGATATCATATTTACTATACAATAAAAATAGATAGTAATATGTATTTAGTAGTCCATTTATACAAAATTAAAATAACGCACCAAAAAGCAACAAATTAATTGTATTGGAACGGCTTGAAGCCAGCTTAGTAGAACATCTTCACAACTTTTATGTATGAATTATACACACACACACACACACACATATATATATATATATACACTGAGTGGTCACAAGCAAATAGACACCTAATTTTTCGTCATTTAACTGATCTATGTTAACTAGTTTGTGTTCACAGTACACTATATAAATGAAAATGGTCCGCACACTAATTATCTTGTGCTACAACGTGCCTAGAACTCAAGGTTCTCTCGAATTGTCAGATTTTGTTAGAGGAAGGATTGTTGGTCAAGCAGATGGTGGAATAAATCAGCGAAAAATTTCGCAGAATTTGGGAATCCCGCTTTCGACAGTCAACAGAATCATCGTGCAGTTCAGGAAACACGGCAAGGAAACAACTGAGCAGCGTCCGGGTCGTCCTGATCCATCGGAGAGGACAAAAAGGGCTGTCAACAGGAGCATCGAAATGGATCCCAGATTAACGTCTGCAGAAATGGCCAAAGTTGGTGGGATGAGCCCGAAATCTGTTCAACGGATTCTCCACAGATTGGGTTATCGTTGCATAGTCAGACGAAAGAAGTGGGCAAGTGATATGATGACCAAGCCTCTGGACTTTTGGAAGACCGTATTGTTCTCAGACGAATCAAGATTCGCTCAATTTTCGGACAGTGGAAGGATATGGGTCTGGAGAATGCCTCACTAAGAGTATTTGGCTCAACAAATTGCAGCCAACTGTGAAGCATGGTAGTTTCAGCGTGATGGTTTGGGGAGCTGTTTGGGTTGGTGGGAGATCGAGCTTAGTGGAATGCGTTGCCAACATAAATTTTGCGAAATACGTCGAAATATTGGAGGAAGGCCT